TACCTTCGTCAGATGAAATTGTATATTCCCCGAATTTGAGAGGGGTTCTACAGCCATAAGACTGTTCAATAAATCTTGCATAAACTATGAATTTTTCATAAAAAATGTTCATAAATGCTTTTCTGGATAAAGAAATAAAAACATTTATAAAATCAAGCTTACAAACTACGGCGTCTGGAGGAGGATCTTCGATATATATGCGAAGAGAGTGAGTGGCTATTTCGCATTCCCCTTTAGTACCAAAGCCTAGTTGATATGTTTGGAACATTTTTGAAGCATCAGGTTTGATGCGCTCATAGATTATCTTAGCTAATAGTCTCCTAAAAAAGACCCTATTGCAATTGGCCGAACTCCACCATCAGGCTTAGAAAAAGCAATTAATATTCAAAAGCTTCTTTCTTCATGGTGCCCCGGCTCTGGGTGGTGGACTGGAATATGATGACCAACACCTAACCTAATGTGACGACCTATAAAGAACTTATATGGAAGTTGGACGTTAAGCTATGAATTCTATATAGTGTAGCCAATGATGATTTACAAATAATTCTAAACCACGTAAGAAGAAAAGTTATTATAAATTAAAATTATATGCCGAGATTATGGTATAAATTAACTTATTAAAATAACTTAAATGTAAATCAATCATAATGGACATATTTGAATACATAAAAAGCCTTAAAAAAATATTTACTTAATAATGAATTAGATGTTTTTCATATTTTTGATTTCTTGAATTATGACCAATTGTGGAAATTAACTGAATTACCTTAAGATGAATTTTAAGTATAATTAAAAATATTACAAAGTTAAACCATTAAAAATCCTAAACAAGAAGATAAAACTATAATTTTAAGTCTATATCAAAATGTAATTGAAACATATGAATTAAAAGATTTAAAAGATAAAAATCATATGATTGATTTAAAAAAATTATAAAATTAATATAACTCTTATAAGTAATACTTAATGTGATAAAAAGTTTTTGAAATTTAAAGCTTTGAAGACAAGAGGTTATGTAAAAACTAAACATCTTCATTTTAGAAAAATATTTAAATGATGTGATGAGGAGATCATTTTCTAAAAATTATCTTATGAAGAATTATTATTTAAAAAAAACACTTTTTAAATTAAAACTAGGGTGTGAAATTTAAATTTTTTTTTTAAGAGAGGGAAATATTCACTTATATGCTCCACCTAGAAATAATGATAGACTAAGTTTTATTGACACACCACCTTGATCGATTCTTTGCCATCAAGATATAATATAATAATATTAGGCGATCTTAATCTGAAAATTGGTAAAATTATAGAGTATGCTAATATGAATATTATCGGAAATGCAACTTTACAACAATCCAATAGTGAAGATAGTAAAAAATTATTTGATCTTTGTAAAAACAAAAACTTTAAAATTGAAAATACTTTTTTTCACCATCATGAGATAAACATTTATACTTTTGTAAGAGCTAATCAGAAATCCCAAATAGATTTCTTCATATCAAACATTCATGGGTGGTTTGATGATGTTATAGTGTCTACCAATAATAAATTGTCAGATCACAGAATAGTAGTAGCCAAAATAACTATAAAAAATTTATGGGGTTAGTCCAAATACATCTTTTCACATGGCAAATCTCTTTAAACCTCTCCTCTCCAGATAACATATTAAAGCTCAGTCGCAAGATGATTTGTTGCTATTTGATCTAATACTTGTCAGAAAAAGATATAATTTTCTAAACATGTCCTCGAATGGAAGTATTGATGAATGCTGGAACCTTTTCAAAAAAGATATTACAGATTCTTATAATAGGCTACCTAATATAAATATTTATTCAAGGAGTAAATGGTTAACAAATGAGACAATAGCAAAAATTAGTCAACTTAGAGAAGGTAACAACCTGAATAAAGAATTGTGGAAAGATGTATAAAAATTGTTGAGGAGTGATAGAAGAAGATATATTGCAAAAAAAAGCCTTTGAAATTGATAAAGATATGAAAGAAAATAGAATCTATGATGCTTATAAAAAATTGAATTATTTTTGCAAACCGTACTGCTTTAAGAAACTTCTCAATTTAGTTTTAGCAAATGGAAAGCAAATTTTTGAAACAAATTGCACTATGTGATTCTCAAGAAGAGCTATCCGCCCAACAAACATTAATAAGCACTTAGTTCCGCCCCCGTCGGGTTTCTCCACTTTTGAAATTGGGAAAGCAATTACTAAACTGCGTAATAATAAAGCCCCTGGGTTAGATAAAATAACAGCTGAACTTCTTAAAATAGCACCAAATACTATATCCTCCTATCTACTACCTCTCTTTAACAAAATCTGGGATAGTGGTGAAACTCCCAAAGAATGGAATATCTCTTTATTATGTAATTTCCCAAAAATAAAAGACCCAAAAAATTTCAAAGATTATCGTGTTATTGCCCTCACATCTACTGTGTCTAAAATATTCATGGTTCTAATAAAAAAACAAAATCATGTCATCTCTACCAACCTTGCTTCCGAAATATATTTGTGCCCATAGACCAAAGAAAAATATACTAGAACCAATTTTATCACTAAAAATAATAATGCAAAAATGTTGGAAATATAAAATTCCCGCCTACTTCACTTGTTTAATATCATAATGTATAAAATTATTAATGAAGAATCGGGAGCCGCGAGTTTATTGGATCTGAGCTTAAATGCAAAATTACATCTAGAAAATAGGATAATATCATATGCAGATGACATCGCTATTGTATCTTTAAGCATCAAAATAACGGAAAATCTGTTATACTTACTAGAAAATTTAAGTCTAAAAATGGGTTTAAAAATAAATTTTAACAAAACAGTCATTCTTCCTTCCCCTAGTGCAGTCCAAAATCCAAATATCATAATTGGTGGTAATTTTATTAAGATAGTAGATAAGATTAAATACTTAGGCATATTGTTGGACCACAAGGGCTGCTGTAAAGAAGAATTGAAAATTAGAATACAAAAAGCGAGAGGGGCGTTTTATAAATATATGAAAATTTGGAAAACGAAAGAGATTTCTGTATACACCAGATTAAGAATTTTCAATTCTATTGCAATTCCTATATTATTATTTGGCGGAGATTTATGGGAAATTAATAAAACAGAAAATAGAAGATTACAATCATTCATAAATAACTTCCTCCGAACTATAAAGGGCATCTTTTACCCTAAAATACTATCTAATTTATGGAGAATATCAAAACACACTCCAATTCATATTACATTAAAAAAATGTCGCATTCAATTCCTAGCTCACATTATAAGGAACTCAGATCAAAATCTAGTTCATGACGCCGATACATGGCCTACACTCATAATAGAAAAGAATACACAAAATATAAATCTTTATGGCATTATAAAACCGTAAAAGATATTATGGAACTAAACTTAATCATGAAACAATTTATCAAATTAAACAACTGCAAAAATTCCATAAAGAAGTTTTTATCAAAGACAAATATTTTATATAAAAATTATCTGGGCTTGTTTTTTTTATAATGAACTAGTATTTTCCAAACCCTTTCAGGAATTCAGGACAAACCAAAATGGAACTGATATGCTCTTTAAATTTTTTTTTAGTATGAATTTACAGTTTTAATTATAAAAAATTTAATTTAAAATCAGCCACAACCCACCTTTAAAGTAATTAACTTATACTGCAGTTCTTGGTCATAGGCTCTTTTTTTGCCCCGCTCTTTTTCTTAAAGCCTATGGACGTCTGTAACATTTTTCGAAATGTTGCACGTACAGCTTGCCCACAGATGTGTAGAGGTAGAGGGCTCCTAAACTTTCTCCCAAATTAACATATGTTCCAATTAGATAGAAATGAGGAATACCTAACGTAGCTCTGTTGTTTATTCAACGCCAGAGGGCATATGCGCTATAATTTTAGTTTTACCTTTTATTTTTATATGTTATAGTGCGCACAAATTGAGCATTTGCGTTTGCAGTACGTTTTTTAACGTAATGCATCTGTGTTTAAATTAAAAGCAGTACGTTTTTTCTTTGTTTAAAATTGAATCGTGATTTTATTTTTATTAAAATATGGACATATTAAGTTTACAAGATAAGCAAATTATTGCTTTATATTTAATTATTAAAAAACCAAAATCTACTAAGACGAGAAGGAAGACTACTAAAATATTCATGGATAGAAATTTATTCAAAGATTTTTTAAATTCATAAATGATTTTTAATGTATAGTATTTAAAAAAATCTACACACATTTGTAAATTTATTTATTTATCTACCTTAATATATTTATAATAATCTACATATTTAAATAAAAATGCTAAATAAATTTATAAAAGTTTGTTTATTTATATATATTCACCTTAAATAGAATAAGATATCTATTATATAAAAATAAATAGATTAACAAATAATGCAAATAGAAAAATTTTAAATATATTTTTCTTTCTTTAAGAATAAAAATGATCACTAGAACATGTAAGAGAGTATTAAATGTCTTATTAAAATAATACAATTTTATTTCATTTAATTTATTATATTTACATAAGGTGATGTCAAAATAAAATATTGGCTCAATAAACCATAAAAGTTATCTATATAAAAGGTCAATATCTTAAAATTACAAACACTATTATTTTTTTTACATATTCTGAAGATAATATTGGCTAAATTATGGTTAAAAAAAATGCAAGGATACATTAGATTTATACTTATCCTAGCTTGTAATCTTTTTAAAATATAGTGGTATTTTTTAGATTAAAAAAATATGTAAATGAATTAAAATCCTAGAAAGGCTTCAAATTTAGATCTCTAAATAATTATTGTTTCAAAATTTATAATATATATACACACTACTACATCTTAATAGCTCCCAAATTTTAGCTTATATATTTTTCAAAAATGGACACTATAATATGGAATATTACTTATTATATATAAATAAACATATTTACAAAAATAAACACACTATAAAATTTATTTAATGTTAGATTTAAAGTTGTTTCTGTTGAATTTGTTGGTGATAATTCAATAGTATTTTGATCCCTTGATTGTTCCATCAATGTATGATACAATCTTGATACTTCACAATTGAAAAAGTATTTATTTGAATGGCTCATACTTTCCAAGCCTTCTGCCATTGATTGTAGATACAATCTAAAATAATATTAAATTTATAGATAAAAAAATATATTTTACTGGCTTTCAGATGGCACCCTTTCCAAAAGAGCCAAAAGTCTTTCACCCATGAGTGCATTTATTTTTGAACTAGTAGTCTTTGGTGTAGTTTCTTTAGTACTAAAATTGTCAGTAGTTTTTCTGTCCTTTATCATTGGCTTCATAAATTTTATATTATCATATTCAACTTCTTCTTTAAGCATGATACAGTTGGATCATGCTGTGGAAACTCCATCTCCATGCTAATAAAAATATAATTTATCACTGTTCATATATATTTACCTTAAACTAATGGTTGATATCTAAAATTTATTCAAATAAAATATCAATTAATATATTCTAAAATTATCTAAAATATAATTTATATTCTAAAATTTTATAAATATCAATTAATATATTCTAAATGATATAATATCAATTAATATATGAGATAAATTATACTTACAATTTTGTATGCATTTTCAAATTTTAGCGCAAAATTAAAAAAGCAAAAAAAAATCAAAGTTAACGCTTGCCGTAAAAAAATCCAATTTGCACAACACCATTTAAAATGCATTATTTGCTTTTAAAACGGAGCGTTGAAAAGCTCAATTTGTACGCACTATTAACCCTTTTATTATATTCTAATTTTAGTTTGTAAAAATGTTTTATATATGATATGAAAAAGAGAAATAAAATGAGATAAAATAATATTTTTACTTTTTCTCCAAGGACGTTCTTTCACACCAAGCTCTTCTTTCTTCATAGCACTAAAAATTTCACGAATAGTTAAAATACTTAATACAAATATTATCTTAAGGGTGAAATTATAATAAATTGTAGTACATAATTACAAATTATATTATTAAGCAGGCGTTTTACAAATTTAATAAATATTTTAAATGGCAATAAAAAATTTCATTAATAATTATATTAAATAATTAATATAAATACATATTTTAAGGGTGATATTATAATAAATTTAAATATATAATTACAAGTAATATTATTAAGTATGCGTTTTATAAATTTAATAATTATTTTAAATGGCATTAAAAAATTTCATCAAATTGTTAAAATACTTAATATATAATAAAAGGGTGATATTATAATAATTTTAATATATATATAATTGCAAATAATTATATTAAATATGCATTTTACAAATTAATAATTAGTTTAAATTCTAATAAAAAAAATTATAATTGACATAACAATTATTAAAAAAATGTTAACTAAACTAAAAAAGATAATAGTTAAATGTTTTTATAAATATAAATATGTTATCTGCATAATTTTTCCGCCCATGTGTTATTTTCCAACTAAGGTTTTTTAAATTTAAAAATCAGATTTTACCGGAAATGTAGAGTATAATTCTATATAATTTTGCCATGAACTTTTGAACTTACTATAATTTATATTCGTTTTTCCATATATTTTTTATATAAATTATAAATGACTCAAAGGTTAAAGGCAAAATTGTCTGGAATTCATAAAATATGTATTCTAAGCATGCTTAAATACATTTCCAGTAAAATCAGATTTTTAAATATAAAAAAACGTGCTCAAAAAATGATTTAAAGTTAAAAAATAACACATTACTGTTAAATATATATAAACATGCCTATAAAATTTGCCGGATCCGTTTTTAAAAAGGAAGGTATCGGAACGGAAGCTATATTTACTTAGAAAAGGGTTTAACTTTTTAAAATCGATCATTATAATTTCCATAGATTTATAAACGTTTTTCGATCAATTTGATTTTTATTGAAATATTGATATGTGATAATTAAGTGATTGAATAAATATTGTTTTTGGAAAATTCTAGGACAATCTGATAATTAAGGAAAAAGTTTATAATTTAAATTATATTTAGACATAAATTATAAGTTTCCATACATCACAAAGATTATATTTTTGTTTAAAATACAAGCGTGTATAAAAAGCCCTTTTTAAAAATCGAACCGCTTAATAACACTACTCTAGAGGCCAGCCTCTACATGAGCGAGAGATGGGGGGAGGTGAGGTTGGACCAGTGGAACAATTTGCATCCATATTTTTGAGGGGAGTAGGCATTTAAAGGGGGTAGGCTTGAAGTAAAATTTATTGGGTGTATTGCTGTATAAATTAATACTTTCATTATAGACGTATTTTATTAAACTATGGGTAATGGCTAAATTTCGAATAATTCGGCTTAATATTAAGGCGCCTGCCGGAGAAAATCCGTTAATATTAGGGCGATCTAATTTATATTAGTTTCTTCCAAATTTGAGTTGCTATCTTTTTAAGAAAAACCCCGAGGCCAAAGTGATATTTTTAGACTAAAAACTTGGTTTAGCCGGCTAAAAATATAGTAATTACCTTCATCATAGGCATTATTTTCCAAAATAAATTATTTCTGGACAATTTAATGCTCGCCTTTTAAATTTAGTAAACTCATATTCATGCCAAATAATATACTATAATAATGTATTCATTGTAAATTAGGGGTTTTTTAATTGAATTCTAGTTCTAGAAAGTAAATTTTTTACAATAATATTTTGATAGTTGATAGTAGAGCATTAATAATTTAAGTTATACTTTTAAGTTATAAAGGGAGTATTATTATAATTGCAATTTTTTTTTTGGGGGGGGGGGGGGGTAATATAGATTTATGATGGGGGTTTGCATCCAGTAAAAATCCTGTCATGTAAACTAAAAATTTACGGAGTTATGATTAAGTATGTCATTTCAATCAAACCACCAAGTATATCGCTCTCTTTCATCAATTTTATATTATTTTATTTTATTAACAATATATATATATATATACACACAAATATTTTACATTTAATAATTATTATATAGAAATGTTTTACATTTAACAATATATATTTATATGTTATATTACAATGATTTAATTAAATCAGACACTTTGTCAATAAAAAAAATAAATCAGAAGTAATATCATACAATACTGTTTGGTTTAAAAATTTTTATTAATTATAAAATATTTTTTATTTTTCTCATCCACGATTTCCCAATTATTAATTTGTATTACTTTAAGTTCAGTTAGGCGTTGATTTTATTTTAAAATCCAAATTAATGAATATATGTTTGGATCAGGGTTGCAATGTCTCCCCCCATCAGCGGGAGACTCTCGCTATTATTTAGTTTACACGCAGGCATCTCTTTCCGGCAAAACTACCGCAATTATAAATCTCCCGCAATTTTTTTTTTAGTATTTTAACGTTTTTAATATATAAATAATAATTTTGAGAGACATTAATTGATTATTTTATATTTTTAAAATAAATTTTAAATGTTTATTTGAAAAACATGTCTAGTTTGTAAATTTCTTTCTATCCTGTTTTATTTTTATCCAATAATAAATCTTTCATTCATATAAGTCAGCACAGGGGAGAATATCTACATCGATTGCAATACAAAAATATTATCAAAAATAATAAATAATACAGATGCAACTACATTTGCGGAAATCGTATACATCTATCATGTAGTTCAACATTCACAGAGCTATATCATCACAATGTGGGTCTAATCTTTTTCTCATGATATTTAACGACTCCAATATAAGTGCAAACCTTACTTGTGGCAGAACAAAAATAGTACCTGAATCCTAGAGGTCAATTCTAGACGTTTTGAAAGATGGGCATCCATACGCAATTCTAACAGATGCATTTAATAAGAAAAATATTAAAAGATTTCCCTCGATCTTTCGCTATTTCAACAAGAATAAGAACATTTCAATAAAACTGTTAAAATTTTTTCCTCGGATATTGAAAAATCCAACAATGTAGCTAGCCACATAATCGTGAATATTGATGCAGGATTACCAATGATTTGCATGTCAGCTTTCAGCGCTGATAATGCCTCTGTAAATTTTGGCAAAAATCAAAGTTACCGAATTGAGGCAGCACAATAATGAATTAATACCAATTGGCTGTATATGCCATATACTACATAATTCTTGCAAGAAGGCAATGAATATACTATCTGAGGATGTCGAAATAATTGTGATGAAATGTTTTAACGAATTTAATTTATCAACTAAAAGAGTTAATGAATTAAAAGAGTTGATGAAGTGGTCGGACTTGGAATGGTGTGAGTTGTTGCGATATATACCTATCAGGTGGTTGTCATTAATACCTGCCATCGATAGAATTTTAAAATTTTACAAACCCTAAAAAAATACTTTTTAAATAGAGATTTTAAAAGCTGTCCTAAAATTTTTAAAAAGTTTTTCGAGTATGAAATGGCAGAAACATATTTGGGATTCGTTTCACATGTAGGAAATCTACTTCATGCAATTAATATTCCTTTGCAATCAGAATATTCTTTATTAAAAAAGATTCACAAAATCATGCTACAGCTCTGTTCATCTCTACAGTTAAAAATTGATAATAAATTTTATGGCGCTATTGCTAAAAATATTATATTAAAATGTTCAATAATACTCTAATTAATACATTTTTAAATGAAGCAGATATTTTTATTAAGACAATTTTAGAATATTTACAATCAAAATTTGATTTTAATAACTCTATTTACAAATGTATAAATATTATGACCTTGGAACAGAAACCATCAATTGATGGTTTGTATAATTTAATAAATATATTAAAAATACCGAAAGACATTGATATCTTGTTTGAGGAGATTGTAATTCTCTCTATTTTTTATGATTCGCCAAAATACTTAAAGTTAGATGGTCTAAAAGCAAAGGAGAAATGGGTAGAATTTTTTCTTAATAACGATAAATCCCCATGCTTGGAAAAAAATATGCGAGTATGTCTTCTCCTTACCTCATTCTAATGCCTCATCCGAGCGCATTTTTAGCCTGATGAGGACTGCCTGGGAAAAGGAGAGAAATGATTGCTTTAACAACATTAGAGGTCGAGCTAATGGTTAAACAAATATATAATATGTAATTCCAGGAATTTTATAAATATCTCAATAACGACGGTAAACATTTAGTTCTATTATTTACATATAAAATATAATTAAGTTTTAGCAATGGCGCTATAAAATTTATTGTCAATTATTAACTATAAAGATGAACACATCTTCAGCATAATTTTGTGAATCTTTATTAAGATACTTCTAATTGCAACTACACATTAACAGCATGTAGTAGATTTCCTACATGTTAAATCATTCCTAAATATACCTCTGCCATTCATTATTGAAAAAAATTTTCAAAATGTTAGGACAGCTTTTATAATCTTTATTTAAGAAATATTTTTTAAAGGTTTATAAAATTTCAAAATTCTATCGATGGCGGGTATTAGGAACATATCGCAACCAACATTGTGCTGACTCAATTCTGTAAATACACTCTGTTTTTACCAAATTTACTGAGGCATTATCAGATCAGAAAGCTGACATGCAATTTATTGATAATCTCGAATCTGCCATATTTACCATTATATGGTTAGCAATGTCTTTGGATTTTTCACTATTTGAGGGGGAAAAATTTAATAGTTTTATTGAAACGACCTTAATTTTGTTGAATTAGCAGAGGATCAAGGGAGATATTTTAATATTTCCCTTATTAGATGCATCTGTTAGAATTGCATATGTATGCCCATCTTTCAAATCGTCAAGAATTGACCTCCTGGATTTAGGTCCTAAAACATTGATGATAGCCTTGCTCATTTTTGTTCTACAAGTATAGTTTTCTTTTATATTAGAGTCGTTAAATATTATGGGGAAAAGATTATACTAACATTGTGATGATAAGTATCTCAGTGAATGTTGTAAAACAAGATAAGTGATTACAATTTTGGCAACTGTAGTTGCATCTGTATTATTTCTTATTTTTGGAGCACCTTATTATGTATTTAAACGTGATAATTAAGCGCCTATCCCTATAATGTTATATACACACACGGTAGATTTACAATTGAGGTAGTTTTACGGAACATTCGCATAAAATATTTTTTTAATTGTAAAATTAAAATCGTTTTATTAATATAAAATTTTATCTTGTTTACATTCTTTTATATTTAAAAAAGATCGTTGGTTTTTTTAAATTAACATATTTTAATTAATCAAGATGTTATTTTATTTTTAAAAATAGTTACCGACTTTGTATTTATAAAATAATAATAAAAAATAATAGGCGGATAATTAAGTCAATTCAAGATCCCAGGCAAAGGCCGGCACTTTGCGGGTCGAAGGCCCGAAAAATAATTTTTTTTAGAAATTTTTATATTTCTACCGCAATTTTCATATTTCTACCGCAATTTTCATATTTCTCCCGCATAATACCAAATTTCTCCCCCAATTTGAAAATTCTGACCTGGCAACCCTGGTCGGGATGGGCGTTTACTATTCGCTTAAGGGAATTGTGATATCCCTCTAGATTATTGTTACTGCGTTGTCCTTATATCTTTTACCTATACAAAACAATGTATTAAATGTTAAAAATATTATGATAAACTAATAGTGGAATAAATAAAAATATAATAATTACCTAGATGAGGAAACTTTGCATCAGAATTTATCCAGGTTGTATCCATATATATTAAGAAGCTAAATATTAAGGGTCATTGCCAAATCTATGCAAGAATCACGGACTATTTCAATGTCTTCTCTTTTGCACAGAGGAAGTACGCTCATCCTTCAAACAATGGTGTACACAGTAGACTTCCTCTTTATATTCCTTTACCAAGCCTATATGCTGAACTTTACCACAAACGGCTTGCATAAAGTGGAAGAAGCAGCCTAGAAATAAATTATGTTACAACTATATACAAATTAAACTTTACCCTTTACTAAATTATTTGTAAATACAAATTGTAGAGCAGATATTGCTCCAGCTTCATAAATAATTTGTGCTATGTGTGGCTAAAAATGGATACCGTTTAATATGCTATCGAAATAGCTCAATATATGACTCCTTCCTTTTATCTGGAAGAAGTGCATATATAATAGGGATCATCGTTTGATTATACATAATATGGATAGTATACAGGCGTGTACGCAGGAATATGATCTAGGGGGGGGGGGATAATAAAATTTTTTAAGAAATATTATTGTTTTTTAAAAATATCAAGCATAAATTTATTAGGACTAATAACTATTTCTAATACACAATTTTAAATTAATGTGAAAAAAAATTATATGTAAAGAATCACTTAAATGACCCAAAATAGAAATTTGAATTTTTTGAGCTTTAAAATTTAAATATAAAGTATAAAAAATTTAAATGTTAGAAATATAAATTAATACACAAATAGCTTAGGGAATAATTGTATTTTGTATGTTATATATTTACAATGTAAAATCCAATCTTCGTTGGGATTGAGCTATTTTTTCAATTATCTCATCCTTGCTTGTTGTCAAATGCCTATGAATATTCAAAAGATCCAAATCTTTCAATCTACTTTCAAAAGTTGTACTTTGGTATGTTTTTCAGAGACCTGCAGGCCCGGCCCCCAGGCCGGACGGTATTGCCGGGCCCGAAATTTTTTAAAAAAACACCAGGGCTGAGCCTGAATTTAAAAAAAACATCTAGGCCGGGCCTGAAAATTTTTTTTAAAAAAATATCCGGGCCGGACTGTATATTTTAAAACAGCCTATATTTGAAATCGTTTTTATTAGCTATAAAAATCAAAAATAAATATAATTTATTTTTAAAAAATCCGTGTATGGCCTGAAAATTTTATTTTAAAAAAGGCCGGGCCTGAAAATTGAGCTTAGCCGTAAAAATCTTTAAGCAGGGCTCTGTTATTCTTCTTAAAAAAGAGAATGTTCTCTCATTAGTTTACTATTGGGAAGAATTGCTAATATATATAAACCCTTTTAATACATTGGGAATATAATCTAAAATGTGTTTGAAATAATGCAGAGCATCCATAGCATTTTTGGGGAATGTATCAACCATAGTTAATCTTATAAACATAGTTATTCAGCTAATAAGGCATCATAAGATACTTTAACATCTTCATGATAAAAATCCAACAAATATTTTTTTTTCTATCACCATCTGAAAAAGGTTGGGAAAGCTTTTATGAAAATAATATTTGCAGATTGGTAAGTGCTGCATAATGAAATTAAACCATTCATTTATTTGGTTTATAAATGTATTTGTATCTAAGATATACCCTTCTAATGATCCTATATTAATGTTTTAACTATGAGCTTGCCTTGCTGCAAGTCGAGTGAGACAAATATTAAACACGTATAGCTCTGCTTTTTACTTAACAATAACATATAAAATATGAAATTCTTCATAAAAATTAGCCCTAATTTCCTTGAATTCTAATAAAATGCTCTCTGCTATTCTCATCTTCTTAATCAAGTCATCATGTTTTTGAAAAGTAATACATAAAATAGTTATACATTCTAATGAGAAAAAAAATTTGGAATAAGCATTGAATCCAATAATTTTCTTGCTTCTAAGGAAAAATTTCTTTCAGGCCATTGTGATATATCAGTAATAGCAAATAATCGGCTCTTCTAACTCCATAAAAGCTGTTACTGCTTGATGGCGGAGACTCTATCTCGTAGGACAAGGTTGCAATTTCTTTCTCCCTGTTGGACAATTTCAGAATAATTATTATTTGACTAGAAATTTAAAAATGGTAGATAAATATTACGCCACTAAAAATTTGAAAATAATAAGATAATATTACGCCGGAGAACTTGAAATCGAAATTAATTGATAAACTTAGTGATGAATGTGATAATAAATGTAATTAAATATATATTTAATATGAGAAAGGAATAAATATTAACAAATATAAATTAATATAGTACTGTGTAAATTTAATTCAAAACATTTCCATATTTATTAATTTATTTGAAAATAAAATTATTTGACTTGTAAAAAGTTGTTAAAATAACATATTTATATATTCTTATCAATTTTTACAAGTTAAAATTTTTATTTACAAACGAATTAAAAAATATGGAAATGTTTTAAATTAAATCTGCACAACACTCTAAACAAAAATATTTTTGAAAAATATATCCGGCATCTGCATTTTTTGGCTTGGGGGGGATTTGTCCCTCTGCCCCCCCCCGCTGCGTACGCCAATGATAGTATATATTTGGCTAAGAAAGCGCGGACACGTGTAAAACGTCCCGGCCATATAAATGAATTTGGTAAAAGATGACAAAATGGCTAACACGGCAGAACCAAATAAAATTAGTTTGTTATTACTATTTTTTATTAAGTAATTAACAACAATGTTTTTATCAGGTCAGTGGTCAATATAATAGCGTCATTGCTAGTAGAAATATTCGGCCGAGCTTGTTTTAAAACACGATTAATCTTATTTTTGACCAAAATAAATGATGGTTATACTCCAGGATAATTATATATATCTAGATCTTCAGTACATTGTTGGTTTAATGTCTTTAGATAGATATCCATTTTGTATCTACAGGATTTTGTTGTACAGTTGCTTTTACCGGCAATGTTTTTAATTTGCCAAATAGTGTAGTATGATTTTCATGTTCGTGGATGGATACTGTGTATCCCTAAATATATTTACATGTAACTTTACAATCAGCTCTTAGACAAAGGCAGTAAATTGTATACCTGTGTGTGCCTTTATATTGGTAAAGAAAATTTCCAAAAATGAACAATATTTTGCCCTTTTGTCTATCTACAAGTCGGCTCAATATAAGAAAATTTATAGATGTTTATATAGTAACTAGTTGATAACCCGTCAAAAATGACGGGGATGTTGACGGGGAGAATTTTATTCGTTCTTTTACGATAATTCTTTTTACCCCTTCCCCTCCTCCTTCAGGCCAATTCCAACCCATTAAGACTAAGAGTGATGAATTGTCTTTTTTATTCAATGATTGATGAATAATATATTTTACCTTTATTTGATGATGGATGAATCAGAAATTTTCCTATTTTATGAGATGTGATTTCGAAATTTATATTTTAAATTACAAAAATGAACAAAAACGAAAAAATATCTCACATTAGGATTACACTGATCACCCGTCATGAATGATGGGGAATTATAATTTGAGATGTGATTTAGAAATTTATATTTAAAATTACAAAAATCTTTGCTCAATGTGGTTTCGTTTTTGAAGATGATGTTGTAATTTCCTTGCTCGTAGTTTGCCGTAAATAACCTGAAATAAAACGTGTAAATTGAAATTATAAAATAGAATTTACTGTTGTTGGTGAGGAAGATGGTTTAGCGATGATGAAGAAGTTCTCTTTTCTTTGCTCAAGGTGGTTTCGTTTTTGAAGATGATGTAAAGTTGGTGATTTGATGGTGAATAACAAAGTTGGTGACTTTTTTAAATTTCTTACAAATTATGAATTTAAGATTTCATTATATATGATATTTTGTGTGAATGTTTTATCATTTTTTAAAATTTTTCCTTGTAATTCTGATGGCAAAATCATAATTTTCATATTATTTTGAGATTTACATCTAGTAAGAGCCACATATAGTTGTCCATGGGCAAAGACGGACTCAGGGAGGAATAAGCCTACATGATCAAAAGTTTGTCCTTGACTTTTATTTATTGTAATCACAAAAGCGGGAATTATAGGAAACTGTTGTCTTTTTAAAGTAAATGGTAACTGAGAGTCACTTGGAGCTAGATCTATTCTTGGGAGAAAAACTCGATAACCCTTATTAGTGCCTGCCAATACCTCAGCGTCAATAAAATTAATATGTAAATGTCGTATGATTAAACGGGTACCATTACAAAGTCCTTTCTTTGGGCTCAAGTTACGTAATAGCATAACAATTGTACCAATTTTAAGTGTTAGCTTGTGAGGTGGCACACCGGATGGAGTTTGTGAATGCAAAAATTCTATTGGAAAATTCATTATATCATCCTTATTATCGCTTTCAATGGAATCTGCACTATAATAATGTTTGATAGGGCCTGAAATTATATTAATGATATCGTTGTTGAGGGTAAGTGCAATTTTATTTTTGGTGGTTAATATTATTTTAGTAGAAAGACTATCTATATCAGCAATTTCTATACAATTACCATACACTAATGAATATTTCTTTCCACGCTAATTAATTTTTTTTAAATTTTAAAATACTTTTTAGGATCTTTAAAAAAAGTATGATTTTATCTATGGTTTACTTTTCCTGGAGTTTTTATTTACACTGAATTATTTTCATGGTAAATTAATGATATATGCCTTCAAAAAACGATTGATAAATTTTTAGAAATCTAACCCATCTCAAACCTTAGAAAATGATGTAATTTTATATTTTCAACTACTCATTAAAATCTGCACCAGGGGGAATTTTTAGCATAAAAAATATATCATGTAAAAAATATCTATCTTTCTTAGGTCAAATAGAATTTAAAAAAATAGCCTGCAGTTTGCAAAAATAAATTCCAAAAAAAAAACAATTGATGAATAAAATAGCATAAATATATAGCTATCTCTAGGGGTGCATCGAAAGTACTATTTGGAAGCTGATCCAATTCAATATTGAAATTCTTAAATTAATAATAGCCGATTACTGATCTATAGTCTGTAAACATTTTAGGTTTTAAATTTTAATACATATATCTACTCTATACTTTTTAATATCTGTAATTTAATTATACAATAACATAAGTCCTTTAAATATATTGTAATGATCATTTATAGTTTATAAAATATTTTTAATGATAAATCACTTCGGATTGGATAAAATTTTTTATATAATTGGCAGATAATATTTTTAAAAAGACGAAATATCTGTTCAATCTGTTAAAGATATTGGTAGATCCCTAGATATTTCTATTTTATAAACATGTAATATCAAAAACAGGCCCTTGACAACACTAATATCAGATCCAATCGACCTATAAAAATCAGTTTAGCCAGAGGGATGTTTATAATAAAAAATCTTAAGGGTGGCATTATTTTATACTGATTAAATTGGTTTGAACAAATCTTGCTAAAATATTGACCATCCAGACTGAACAATATTTTTATATAATTTCCTGTTGAGCCTGATATAATTTAATTTTAAGTTGCATGTATTTTATACGTAAGAAAATAATTATCTCGAAAAAAATAATAATTGAATAAAATATATTTACTTTTTGAGAAGTTAAGCTCATTTTCCCAGTATAGATATACTTGAGTAATGTTTTAAATGCTTGATTTGGGGCATCTTTTAATTCTATTTCATTACAATCTAGCAAAGATTCTTTCATTCCACCATATAAAAGGGCTCTATTTTTTAAACACCAAATTATATAGGTTACAGGTAAATTAAGGTAATAACCTAAAGTATTTGCTCCTTGAAGCTAGTATAAATTTGTGTGCATATGTTTTTTTTGTAATTATATGGTTATAGAGTGATGTGGTATGGTTTTTATGGAAGTTATTTGTGAATGAATGATTTAGTTTTCACGTTGATTACCATTGATCAAATTTGTAAACATTTTGATTGGACAAATAATATTTAAAAGAAAACTATTGGCTAAATTTGATTGACATTTTTGAGGATTATATATATATATATTTACCAAAAATATGTATATTTCTAAAATCTATAAGAGATTTTGCAATCCCATAATTATACATATTTTCTAAATTATATTCACCTGATATTTTAATTTAAAAGAATTATGTAACATTTCTGAATTATTTTAGAAATCATTTGATATGTTGAGAGCATCTATATTTTATATAATTAGTTTTTTGTTATAAAAATGTTACTTTGAAAATCAAGAAAATGGGGCGAAATATATGAGCAAAGAGGGGATGTGTAAACTGATTAACTTTGAGTATCACCTATTTTAAAATTTTTGTTTAGATAATGATTTTATAATATGTTGTACCTAAAATCAGGGGTGTCGCTAGCTTTTACAATCTAAGGGGGCTCAACTAAAAAAAAATTTATGGGGGACGAAGACACCCATACTCCTTAATTTGCGGGCCTTCGGTCAGATTTTATATTAATATTTTAAAATTTGCCAACTCTGAACAATTATTCTGAATTTCATATTTCGTCATTTATTATATTTGCATACAAAATAAACTAGCATATAAATAATAAAAACAATACAAGACATTTCTAAAAATAATATTTTTTGATACAACATCTATTTATTACAGTATAAAGTATTTTCGATTGCTGGTATAAAAAAATTTTGCGTCTAAAGAATTACAAGTGATAAAAAAGGTTAATTATTTCATACATATGTCTCAATTGATAATGGTTTCTAAAACCCACATATAATATAATTCTTAGCAACTTACATTGAAAAAAGGTCATGAAACTAATATAACTCTCTGTTACCATTTTAGACAATGTTTTATAGAAAAAATTTATAGGCCTAACCAAATCAACAATTCTTGAAGAAGAGAATATAAACGACCAATCCAAATCATAAAACTATATGGTGGTTAGAGCTTCCTTTTAGATAACATGATGGAAGCTAGATAACTAATCGAGAGAATTATTGTGTGATATATTAAATTTCTAAAAGATTATCTTCTATTTTTAATGATATCTAAACGACTATATAGTTGACTATTATTGCTTATCTAGAATATGCCATATGCTTTCAGCAGCTGTCACGGGCGTCGCTAGCCTTTACAGTCTCAGGGGTAGTGTTGTTAAACGGCTCGTTTTGAGCCGATTTTTAAAAACGGCTAACTCACTATTTTATCCAGAATAATATAACTCAAGCCTGAAGATTTTGCTCGTAGAAGGAACAACGGTCTAGGCATATATTATCGAAATCTCGAGGCTTAGATAATATTTTTCTGCCTAAAAAATAGAGTTAGCCGTTTTAAAAAATCGGCTCAAAACGAGCCGTTTAACAACACTACTCAGGGGGCTCAACTAAAAACTTATGGGGAAAGAAACTCCCCATACACTCAAATTTGCCCAGCCTTCGATTTATATAAATATACTATATTTTTTTTAAATGGACGACAACCTCGTCATAAATCTACCAAAAACATTTTACTAGCCGCCCTCAAAAAAGTTAATATCCCATCTACCCTCGAACCAGTGGGTCTTTCAAACGAATACGCCATACGCCCGGATGGTATTTCTCTCATACCCTGGTCTAATGGTCTTCCGCTAACATGGGATTACACTTGCGTTGATTTTGCAGCCAAGTCTAACCTCTCATTTTCTGCTATCGGAAAGGCAGAAATCCTTAAAAAAAATAAATACGCTGGCCTTATGTTCATTCCTATCGTTACCAATACCCTAGGCATGTTTGTAAACGAGGCCCTCAATTTCATTAAAATCACAGGAAAAAAAATGAGACAGATCTCAGGGCACCCCAATGAAGGATTTTACCTTCGCCAGCAGATTTCCCTGGAAATTTTCCGGTCTAATTTTTTAAGTATTCACTCTTCTCTTGGGTGATATATACTCCGCTTTTTTTAAATATATATTTTTTTTATAGTCCTTTTTAATGTCTTCATAGATTATATATATATTATATATTTATTTTTTTATATTTAATATATCCATTTTATTTTTTAATCCTCTGTAATTTAATGATTATGAATAAATAATAAAGTATTTTCCATTTAAAAAAAAAATCTGCTAACTCTAAACAATTATTCTGTATTTCATATTTTGTCTATTATATTATGCTTACAAAATAAACTAGCATATAAATAATTAGAACAATACAAGACATTTCTAAAAATGATATTTTTTAATATAAAATCTATTTATTACAGTATAAAATATTTTCGATTGCTGATATAAAAAAATTTTGCGTCTAAAGAATTACAAGTATAAAAAAAGGAAATAATTCATACATATGCCTCAATTGATAATGGTTTTTAAAATAATATAATACTTAGCAACTTACTTTGACAAAATGTCATGAAACTAGGCATGTGCGCCGACAGCATTTTCGGCGGCGGCGTTTCTTTTTTTAAAATGATCGGCTGGCGGCGGCGAATCGATTTAGACGCCGCCACAAATTCGGCGGTGGCGCGGCGGCGACAAATATTTTTCTAACTTAAATTTTTTTAATTAAATTTATAAATTCATTGGAAACACTTTTAAAATAAAATTTATACTTTATTATGTTTATAACTATAATTTAATGATTTTATAAAGTTATAATTATCATGAATAAATATTATTTTATTAAGATTTAAAGGACATAATAATGATCTTTTAGAGTTCAGAGTGAGCCCAGCAAAATACAAGCTCGCTGGGTGTGCTCGTAGCTGGAACGCACAGGACCTTTCTACCTAATATTGAGTTTAGGAAGATCCAATGCTCTTATCTTCCAAAAATCTAAGACATCTTTTATCTCCAAATTATAAGGCGAAAATAATGAATAACACTCTTTTTCTAAATTAGTTAAATAGTGTTGTTGTTCCAAGCTATTGTTTTGAATAGATGAATGTTTCGTAGCCAATGACTTAAGATCATCGAGTTTTGAAGCAACTTCCGTCGTTTCACATTCGTTTAATTCGTCCGTGTAAGGCCGTAGAGAGGTAGCGTGTTGACATAAAAATTCAACCGGAGTAATATTTTTTCCTTTAAATATTCATTTACTATGTTTATTGATTGAAAACGAGGATCCAAAAGTGCTCCTAACACCTAAGTAAATTAATAAAAGAAAGAGAAATAATATATAAAAATAATTTATGTATTTTAAAATAGTACCTGAAGATCGAGTATTGGAAATCTATGATCAAATTTAGTAAGCACTATTTTGTTTAAGGGATGCTATGGGAGGACTATCATATTAATTTCACTACGAAATAATAAGGCTAAATTTATAGTTATTCCTTTTTGGCCAGATAAAAATTCAACAGTTTTTTTTGGAGGTTTTAAGAAAATTTAAAAGTTCATGCACCAACTATACCAACGGGCACATTTAATTTTAAGGTTTTTTGTTTTTTCTCATATGATTTTTGATTTACACTATCATCACAAAATGCAAACGATCTTCATAAAAAGAATCATTATCACCCAAATCTAAAATATCCGATATATATGATATCGATTCAAAACATTTTCTATTTTCTATATCGTTTATATTTTCAAAATCCACTGTTTTGAATCTTAAGGCAACTATAACTTCTCTCACTTTTTAATGAGATTTTCTATTTTTATTAACTTTTTTTTATTCCATCGACTGTCACTAGATTATGTAATCCATGCCCCAAACATAAATGATGGTCATATTCTCCTAGACGAACACTTTTCTTTATATTGGGTCCTGCGTCCGTAACCATTTGAATTTTCTTGGACCCTAAATTAAATTCATTTTCAACCTTTTATATCTCGGAAAAAATAGTTTCAGCGGTATGTTTTTGAGTGACATGATGTGTCGCCAATGTATAAAATATAATATTAAAATTATTATCTATTTCGTGAAATGTAAAGGTGATATAATTTCGCCGTCTATATTTGTCGGTCCAAGTATCAAAAGTTATAGCACAAAATTTAGGACCTATATTATGTTGGCATATGTATGCTTTCATTGATAAATACACATCATCTAATCCACTCCGGCTTAGTGTAGTTCTATATGGTAATTTTTGGTATCTGAAATAATGCTATATTTCCATATAATAAAAAGTTAATAATAAAAATATCATGTCGTAAAAAATTCTAAATGAGGGATGTTATAAAATAATTTAATATATTAATAGTTATAATAAAAATTAAGATTGCCCTTGCCCTATAAAAAATTATAGTGATTTTACAAATAACCTTTAGAAAATCTTGCACTCCATTATTATTTATAAAAGAGAATGGCATTAAATCCTTGCAACACATGAGAACATAATTCTTTACCAGAATCCATTTTAGGGTCAGTTGTATCTTATGGGTTTGAAAAATAACTTTAAATTTTGTTTAGGTATTTCTTCTTAACATGATAAATCATGTTTGTCAAGTAAATGTTTTATTATATTTGATGTGCTGATATTTTTTGAAAAAGATTTGATTGGATAACTAATTAAAAAAACAAATATTTTTAAAATAATCAAAAAATTTACTCTGAAAATGAATAATTATTTTCATCCTCACCATCTTTATCAAGTGCTATTTGCAAGCATATATTACAAAAGACTTTATCTGTAGTAACACTGGTACTCTTATTATTTGTGTCAGTTTTTAATATTAAGGATCCAAAATGTTTCCATGCAAAAGAAGGCTTTGCTTGCAAGGATATACTATATTTTGTTACAGGGTATTGCAATGCTGCAT